AAAAAAAAAAAAAAAAAAAAAAAAAAAAGCCCCAACAACAATGCCTGCATTTGATAGATGAGGAAACTGAGACTTGGAGATGGCGAGAGGGTGGGGCAGAAGAGGACCTCAGGTCACAGAGAGGGGAAGGGGCTCGGCCCAGTCTCAGTGCTTCATTCACAGTGACATGTCGAGTACGAATGGGGCAGGATTGGGGTCTTATTCACCTGTGCCTCGGCCTGGGTCCCACAGCGGGGAATGGCCGTGCTGGCAGGTCCTTGGCAGGTCGGGCAGACCCCAGGTGCCCAGCCCCTGCCCAACAGCTTGTTCAGCTCTGCAGCCTCATAGCAGCGCAAACGACCATGGAAAGGGGGGCAGAGCCAACTGGCTCCCAGGGCATGTCCTAGGAGTTTTTGGGTCCCCAGAGTGGGTGGGGCCCCGCACGATTCCCCTTGTCCTTGGTCACACAGGGTTGCCGCACAAAGCTCCTCTGGCTCTGGGCTCATGTGCGGCTCCCCTTGGTGCACTTCTGCCTTTTTGTTTTTTTTTTTTTTTTTGAGACGGAATCTTGCCCTGTCACCCAGGCTGGAGTGCAATGGCACGCTCTTAGCTCACTGCAACCTCTGCCTCCCGGGTTCAAGTGATTCTCCTGCCTCAGCCTCCGGAGTAGCTGGGACTACAGGTGCACACCACCACTCCTGGCTAATTTTTGTATCTTTAGTAGAGATTGGGTTTCACCATGTTGGCCAAGCTGGTCTTGAACTCCTGACCTTGTGATCCGCCTGCCTCGGCCTCCCAAAGTGCTGGGATTACAGGTATGAGCCACCACACCTGGCTGCAATTTTTGTATTTTGAGTAGAGACAGGGTTTCACGAAGTTGGACAGGCTGGTCTTGAACTCCTGACCTCAGGTGATCCACCTGCCTAGGCCTCCCAAAGTGCTGGGAGCCACCGGGCCCAGCCTCCAGGATCATTTCTGATACTAAGGAGATTGGTGTTCAGGTTAAATTAGGTTTACGGATGAGGGTGGAATTCTGGAAAAGCGGTTTGGATTAGGTGAGTCAGAGACAGGAGGGAGAGGATGGGGAGGAATGGCATGGTCAAGTATCTGTTGACTTCAATTGATTTAGGGATATCCTGGTTTTATGGTGGTTTCTAGAAAACAAGGTTAATCCTCCTAGATAATGGTCTTTGGCGGGGGCAAATCCTACCTTATTTAGTTGGCTTCTAGAACCACAATGACAGTTTCTTCTTTTTTTTTTTTTGAGACAGAGTCTCGATCTGTCGCCCAGCCTGGAGTGCAGTGGCATGATCTCGGCTCACTGCAACCTCCGTCTCCCGGGTTCATGCAGTTCTCCTGCCTCAGCCTCCGGAGTAGCTGGGATTACAGGCATGTGCCACCATGCCTGGCTAAATTTTGTAATTTTAGTGGAGATGGGGTTTCACCATGTTGGTCAGGATTGGTCTCGACCTCCTGACCTCAAGTGATCCACCAGTCTTGGCCTCCTAAAGTACTGGGATTACAGGTGTGAGCCACCACAGCCAGCCCATAATGACAGTTCTGATGGGGTTTAGGTCATGTCTGTACAGCAGCCAGATACCTGGCCCCACTGGGGGCGTTGTGGCACATCAGGACAGCTGATGCTGATGGGGGCGGCACAGACTTGCTGGGGACAGGGCCCCTGCCTTATGTATATACGGATTCTCTTCTCTGAGTCTGTGAAAAGACCCTAAGTGGTCAGTACTAACACTTTCACCAGCTGAGCACAGTGGCTCATGCCTGTAATCCCAGCACTTTGGGAGGCTGAGGTGGGTGGATCACAAGGTCAGGAGTTTGAGACCAGCCTGGCCAACATGGTGAAACCCCATCTCTACTAAAATTCAAAAATGAGCCGGGCGTGGTGGCACATGCCTGTAATCCCAGCTACTCAGGAGGCTGAGGCAGGAGAATCGCTGGAACCTGGAAGGCGGAGGTGGCAGTGAGCCGAGATTGCACCATTGCACTCCAGCTTGGGCGATAAAGTGAGGCTCCATCTCAAAACAAAACAAACAAAACTTTCACCAAGTCTTGGGTGGGTGAGCATCCTGCCTAGGGGATGACCTGGGACCTGGGTGGGAGACAGGGGGTCCAGGCGCAGATGGTGAAAGGGACTCAGGGATCAGAGGACAGAATTACTGAGTGCCCTGATCTTTGGCCCGACCGCAGGGCAGGGTCCCCTTCCCATGGAACCCTCCTTCCCGTTTCCAGAACATCCCAGGGCCCCGGGCGGGGGGCACTCACTGCATGGCTGGCTCTGAGGGGCTGTCTCAGCACCCATAGCTTCTCTGGTTAGCCCAGGACAGAAGTCATCTTTGGGCGTGTGTGGAGCCGAGGTGAATGATTGCGGCGATGTCCTGAGGCCCTTGTTAGATCAGATGCCAGGGTTCCTGGTGCTGGGGTCGGAGCAGCTGGGAGGCTGTGAAAGGTAGGTTCCCCTTTCTCAGAAGGGTTTTATTATGGAAACTTTCTTTTTTTCTTTTTTTTTTTTTTT